GCTCTCACGGGATCACCTAACTCATCTGCTACGGAGGTTTGTTCGTCCTGCTGTCAAATGGCCTTTTTTCCTGGTAAGTGTCGATTCTCCGGTTCATACCACCCATTTTCGGCAGCCAGTCTCGTCAGTCCTCGGCGAGACACGCTAGTCACTACAGAGAATGCACAGGAGGAGACTTCCAGGTCAGGGAGGGCCCCAAGGGGCAGCGGCCTGGCAGACAGCTCTGGGAACACTGGAAAGTGCACCTGAGCGCACCTGATCAGCGAGAGGCACCCCCCCCCCCCCCCCCCCGCAGCTGCAGAGGGCGCAGCTGCGAGGACAGACGGGCGTCGGGCCTTGTGGGGAAAGGAGAAATGAGGACAAGAAGGAGCGGGCGGACACCAGGGTGGTCAGCCGGGTGGGGGGCAGGGAGCTGGCCTTTGCCAGGGAGGCTGGGAAATGCTCTCAGGGAAGACCTGGCAAAGAGAGCAGGCCAGGTTGGCAGATGTGAGGAACTGCTAGCAGCCAGGGAGACCCCAGGGGCAGAAAGCCAGGGGCAGAGCAGCAGCGGGACCTGGAGGGTGACCGGGCAGTCCAGGGGCGAGAGGCAGGTGGGAGTGGAGCTCGTCGTAGGGCTGAGAAAGGGGCTCAGTTCTCATCTACACCGCTGGCCAGGGAGCAACGCAGGCGGGCGGTGTCGCGGGGCTGGACACGCAGGGATGGCGCGTGGGATGGGCTGGAGGGCAAGAGGAGGTAAGGGTGAGCACAGGCACAGCAAGCTGGTGGGTGCTGTTTGCCGAGAGGACACGTGGAGGAATCCTTCCGATCTCCAGTCAGAATATTTGGACCCGCGGGAAGGTACAAAGGAGGCTTCCCAGGGCACCGTGGGCCACCACTGTGCTGAGGAACATTCTACCGCAGCCCACATGGCGGGCAGCTGCCCTGCCGCCTTCTCTCTGCCCTCCAGACGGTGTCCGGCGGGGACTGCCCCCAAGGTTATGGTCCTGAGACGACCCACAGCCTTGAAATGTGTCTGCCCACCTCTCCCTCTGGACTGTTGACTGTTCTGGTGAGGTGCTGGGGCCAGAGCGGTCATGCTATCTGTGAGCATTTCTTATTGGCTGAGATTAACTGGCACCAGCTGGAGATAGGCTCCGGTGATCTGATAGGCCGATACGGGACCGGACCGACCTGGATGTTCTGCCCGGCTGCAGCCCCCCGCGTCTGAGGCTCCCCACTAGCTTGGTGTCACCTTGCTCGGAGAGCTGTCCTTCCACCAGCAATCCCTTCCCCTGCTCAGGCAGGTGGAGGGCTGGCCGCCTGTAGGTGAGGTTAGAAAAGGGGGGGAATCCTGAACCCAGAGACGAGGTCAAGGTCAACAGCTAGAAGGAATAAGAGCAGGGACGGCTGCCAGGATGCCATGCTGCAGTCCTCCCCCACCTGCCACCAGGGAAATTACCTTGAAAAGGCCACCACCTTCACATGGGGAGGAGCTTCTCAAGTGGGGGGAGAGGGGAGGGCAGGTGCGTCCTCCCTAAGGGGGCCACTCCCTGAGTTAGGGGTCCTCAGACTGCCTTGCCTGTCAGACTCACCTGCAGGCCATCCTCAACAAACAGATCCCGGGGTTCACCATGATCCCTGGGGGGGTTCAGTGAGGGGGCTTAATGTGACACTTGGGCTTCAGTGCCACAGTCCTGAGCAATTCTCAGGGGTTCCATGGCTCGGCCTTCTGTGTGCATTGGAGACGGGGTGGGAGGGTGGGATGCAGGGTTGAGGTTCCAGTCAGAAGAATATACTCACCCATGGAAAAACCCCTCTTAAAACACAGCTGAGACCCTGCGCAGGGCTGCGGAGGGGAGAGCCCCCCTACCTACCAGTGCTCACAGCCTGCGGCCCAAGCAACCCTGCGCGACACAGGCAGCCAGAGAGCGTGAGTGAGTTGAATCTGAGTGAGTTAAGTGCTCCCCTCGTTTGCTGGGGACACAAGGACACTGAGAGCTATCCACCGTGACAAAGAGGAGAGCTAAAAGGTCAAGAGACCTGCCCTGGCCTCTATGTGCTAGGACTGGAACTCAGCCTGGGCTTCGTTTGCTGCGGGCCCAAGATGGCTGTAATTTTTCCAACTGCCACAGACCAGGTCATTTTTCACCATCCCCCAAGGGTAAAGTTCAGAGATGTTCCAGGCGCCTCAGACCACTGCTTGTAAACATCCAGTTTAGAAGTGAATCTACCACACAAAGAACTTCACCTCGTGGTGAAGTTTGAGGCGTGTTCTAGCAACAGTTGAAGACCCAAAGCGGTTAGCAAGGCTCGCGGCCTCCATGAGGCCTGGAGATTGACTCGTTCAATTTGAACTGTCGCTGCAAGCTATTTAAATGTCGTTCAAGGTTCCTTTCTACCAGTTACCTTTACATCTTCATTTCAACAAAAAAAGAGGGAAAAGATGTGCCAGGATAAAGGACACCTCAGAAAGGCCTGGAACTCTGACGTGCATGGGCTGTGTGGCCCCTGACAGGTCAGGCATGGAGAGGTGCGCCCCTCAGCCTCAGCCCTGCACAGGCCCTCTGCAGGCATCCCTACTCATGCCGGGAGGGAGCGAGAGGGGGCACCCATATTCGGAACTGGGAAACTGAGTCATAAGGCTCAGATGCGTGGCCCAGAGCACTGGTTCCTCTTTGTACCAAGACAGACTTGTGTGCTGACTGTCTGCCAGGACTCTGACACGTCCGACCTCCACAGCTTCCTGCAGTCCCATGAGACAGGTGCCAGGGCCATGCCATGTCAGGAGGAACCCACGGAAGCCAAAGAAGTTAGAATGCAGCAGACTCCGGAGTCAGCAAGCCCAGTGGTGAGGTCGGAAGGGGCCTTCAGGGTCCCACCCAACCATGCCCACCCCACCATGCCCACCCCAGGTGGCAGGGCCTCGGGCCTGATTCTGTACATTTGGGGGCAGTACCCTGACCTTTTCACTTCTGCAAGACCCAGGGGCTGCAGACGCTGTCTGTCTGGGAAGCAGGCTTTGAGCACCGGTTCAGGGCCGGTGGTCCCGAGTGGCCACACAATAGTCCTGAAGGCCTCCGAAGCACCCGCAACTCCTCCAGAACCCCTGGCCACAGATGTTTAAAGTAATTCCTAGAATTTCTTTCAACGGAGATTTTTGCTATCGCTTTGCGCTGGTCAGGTCAACAGAGGCCGCAAACTCGTCTTTTAAGGGAGCTGCCGGTGGCTTCTGGGCTTGTTCTGAGCCGCCCAACAGGAGCAGGCGTGGGCAGCCGCAGGCACCGAAACCCCGGGTCCGGGGAGGGCGCCCGGGCCGGCCGGACTCAGGGCCCGAGGCGCCCCGACAGCAGAGTGACCAGACGGGCCGGCAGCCCCACCCCCAGCGGCGGCGCACCTGCCTAGCGGCTGGTCGCTCTCCGGTTTTTTTTTTTTTTATTGACATTTTCTTGACGTCCCCGCGCCCAGTGCGCAAACAGTCTCGCACCTCACATCCGCAGGAGTTGAACAAAATTTGGCAAAGTTCTTCTCCAAGGGCAAGGGAACAAGCGGCGGGCAGAGGGAAAGGTCGTTCGGAGAGGCGGTGGGGCAGGGGCGGCGGTGGGCACCCCCCACCGAGAGTCAGGCGGTCCTCGACGTGACAGCGCGGTGTGTGTGGGGTCCGGGGTGGAAATGGGTGACGGGCACGGCGGTGGAGGGCGTCCCCGGCGCGGGCAAGGGTGGGGAGCGCTGGGCCGGTAGGTGGGGGCCGCCGGGGCGCGCCGAGCTGGGCAGGGGGTGCCGGGCACCCCTCCCCGGAGACAGTAGGCGGCCGCAGCCATCTTGCGCACCCAGCGCACCTCGCAGGTCGGGTGGGGCGATTAGGGGCGCGGCCCGGGACCCCGCCCCGCCGGGGACTC